TATAGATAGTTTAAATTATTTCCACATGGCTTTAGCCAACTTGCCAAAGGCTTTTGGGCTAGGAGACATAGCTAAAGGATATTTTCCACATTTTTTCAATAACAAAGAAAATCAGGACTATATAGGGCCTATGCCGGATGAGAAATATTATGGCGCTGATACGATGAATGTCCAAGCTCGAGAAACATTCTTGGTATGGTATAATGAACGAGTCGCTGAAAACTATGAGTTTAATATTCGAAAAGAAATTCTCCATTATTGCAGGCTTGATGTTACAATTTTGAGACGTGCGTGTGTGGAATTTCGTAAATTAATAATGCATGCTAGAAATGTTTGTCCTTTCACAGAATGTGTAACGATTGCCTCGACTTGTATGCGCATTTTTCAATCAAATTTGTTGAAAGAAAAACAAATAGGTATTATACCGCAAGGAGGTTATCGTTTAGGAAAGACGCAGTCTAAAGTAGCAATTGAATGGCTTTTATGGCTCGAACACTGTGAAAATCATCGAATTATACATGCAGGGAGAACTCGCGAGTATAGAACGGAAAAAGGTCATCGTTTAGATGGTTATTGGAAAGATGTTGCGCATAATAAAAAATATGCATATCAATTTCACGGATGTTTTTGGCACGGCTGTCCAAGGTGTTTCAAGTTTAATAGAGATAAAGAACTGAGTCACAAGGATACATTAGAGGGTCGTTATGAGAGGACAGGAGCAATTACTCAAGAATTGCAAAATTTGTCTTATGAAGTTGTCGAAATGTGGGAATGCGATTTTGTTCGTCAAAAACAGACAGATTCCGAGTTGTCTCAGTTTGTTGAAAAAATTGATCAGCAAATATTCATTGCCTTGGATCCCCGCGATGCGTTTTTCGGCGGCCGAACTGGAAATACCGTGACACATTACGATGTTAAAGAGGGTGAAAAAATCCGATATGTTAACGTTTGTTAATTATATCCGTATGTTTTAAAGACGGGTGTTTTTCCTATTGGACACCCCACTGTTCACGTAGGGAACGATTGTCGTATCGCATGCCCTAATAATGACATTTCACGGATTGAAGGACTTGTCAAAAGTCGTATTTTACCTCCTCGGCGGTTATTCCACCTTGTATTACCTGTCAAGGCCCACGGGAATCTATTGTTCCCTCTCTGTCGGTCATGCTGTAAAGATCTAGTGCAAGACAATTGCCCTCATAACGATCCAATTGACCGTGAGTTTTTGGGCACATGGACAGCACCAGAACATCGTAAAGCCGTCGAAGTGGGCTATAAAATTTTGGAAATTAGCGAAATTTGGGAGTATAAAAAAACGACACGTTATAATCCGGCTACGCGTACAGGTGGTTTATTCGCGGGGTACATAAACACTTTCCTGAAAATCAAACAAGAGGCTTCCGATTGGCCCGCAGAGTGCGTAGACGATGAATCAAAGAATAAATACATAGCCGAATATGAGGCCAGGGAAGGTATTAAACTAGACAAGGATAAAATCCAAAAGAATGCTGGGTTGAGAGCTGTGGCGAAGCTTTGTCTTAACTGTCT